ACTGACGGTGCAATCCAAACGAGGCGCGTTTTCACTGACCTCTGTGTTGTTATTAAAGACAAGAAGGTAAAGCGTATGCAAAAATCGACTAGCACGTATTAAAGTGAGAGAATGAATTGAATGTATCCAGTGACAAGCATTGCATGTGCATTTTGCAGAAGCAAAGTCACACCCACACATAGACACGCACTTGATATTTGAAATTTGATATGTGATGGTGTGCCATGAACGGACGTGCGCGATTTTAGCTCTGATTGTTATAAGATTTTATGTAGAAATACAGCAGTAAAATCAATCTACTCATCGTTGCCTTTATCTTCCATGGTCTTTGTGGATATATTTGCATTCTTACCAGGATATTGAATCTTCTTCAGAGATATTTGATTGGTAATCAGTGTTCGACCTTGTGATATATATATATGCCTTGTGAAAAGCCCATCATGACGAGGAGCGAACGCGGTGCCGATGAAACCCGCGAGAGACAATACAAATGTATGAGAAGAAGTGCAGGAAGCTCTGGAGGCAAGCGAAGTCATTGACATGCTTGTAAGTAAAATAAAAACTCTATTCATTGAGGAACTAACCACCGTTATTACTCAGAAAGTCGGTGAAAACTTAAGAGAGACTTTTGAGTTTGAGTTGACGACAAGAGATGAGAGCATTACAAGAATGGAAAAGGAAATTGAGCAAATGAGAGAGCATTAAGATGAAGCAGAACAATATTCGAGGAGGAATTGCCTTGTTTTAATGGTCTAAATGAGAATGAAGATGAAAATACAAATAAAATTGTGCAAGGAGTCTGTGAGAAAAGTCTTAGCATAAATCTACAAAATGGCGACATCGACAGGACGCATCGACTCGGCGCGAAAAGGGGCAGGTCACGTGTTATAATCATACGGTTCACCAACTATGACGCCAGAAACCGAGTGTATCAATCCCGGAAACTACTAAGAGGTCTACCAGGAGTTCCCATCTTCATTCAGGAGAGTTTGACCCGGTCAAGATCGGAACTTTTCAAGGAAATCAAGTCAGATCACAAAAGAAAATTCAAAAGCATCTGGACCCAAGATTGACGCATACGTGTATTAACCAACAGAGCTCATCGCCTTACTTTGACAAAGAAGTCTCATATAGTCAAACTTCCAGCCATTATCCAGCCATTCATTATACTATTGATTTTACTATGTACATGCATTTTCTTTGTGTTGTTTTTAATATTATGATATGGAAAAATAAATACCAATACCAAAAAAGGCTTGATTAATTTTGTTAGGGATGTTATTTTGATCTGCAAAGACCAAATTAATACCCAAATCCCAACCGTTGTATACAAGCATCGCATAAGCAACTTTGGCGCAAGTCGATTTTTGCACTCTCGCAAACAATTCCTCCTGTTCATCCAAACGTGAACATATACCACACAAAAATGGTAGTAAATGATTTGGGATAAAACACTCTTTCATAAGATGTATAATAATTTACTGTTCATAGAAGATCTTTAAAATAATTAGCATTTTTCTTGGTGTAAACTTTTTTTAACTCACACTGTAGAGGAGCTTATTAAAGAAACCTCAGTCAAGAGAAGGTTCAAGAGGGTCCATAACAAAGAGGAAACGAGCTTCAAGCACTCACATCGATTGTATCTTTCAATATCATTTCAGAGGTCGCATTGATTACTGTTTTCTAAGTGGAAACGATTCCTTTTAGATCTAGATAATACGCAGGTAGTAACGTGTATTAATGTACTCATATTTTCAGGGTATTTTTTCTCTCTCTCTCTCTCTCTCTCCCCCTCTCTGTCTCTCTTTCTTTTTTTTAATTTTTTTTTTATGTATCTCTCCCTCTCCCTCCCCGATCTCTCTCTCTCTCTCCGTCTCTTTTTTTCTCTCTCTTTATATTTGTATCCCTCTCCTCCGCTACTTCTTCCTGCTCTCCCAGTCTCTCTATTTTTCTCGCTATCTCTCATGTTCTCTTTCACGTTCTCTGACTATCTTCCCTCCTCTCTCTTAATCTCTCTCTCTCTCTTTCGTTCTCCTTCTCTTTCTCTTCTACACTCTCTCCTCCCTGACACGTTTCCTGCATTGGACATGTTGGTGATGTACCAAGCATACCCTTTCTTTTTCCCTATTCAACTTAGCTTATCATTATGCTTTACCTCTTTATGTCTAGTAGTACTTTGCCGTTGTTTCCACTTGCTCTCCAAGTCAATTCATTCACCTCAATATGTGGGAAGCTACCACTTTTTCCACCCTACTCATCAATTTACCTCTACTCCTCCACGTTTGTTACATCGCCCCTTTTCCAGGATTAGTCTACATGTTACTCTCTCATCTGATGATCAGCCCAAATCATAATGAAAAACAATCTTTTTGCTTACTTTTATTTTTTTCTTCTATATTACATCCCTTCCCGTTTCAAATGTCATCATGCCACCATGGAGAAGACAAAAAATCAGGCCTTGTCTTCAGACACCAATAAATGACCATTGATTTATTTCACCGTCCGTGGAAAAAAAAAGGAATGATTAGATCTAGATTAGATCACCTACATAGCAGTTCGATTTTTGTCGAACCGCTTTCCCAAATTTGATAAATCTTTTCTTGAGCGAAGCAAAAGACGCCTATAGCCCAGTAAACAAAGCAAAACTAAAAGCATGCAGAAGAGGGCAAATATAAATGTCAGAATACTGTAAATACTGATTTATTTTCGGATTGCGAGTGATTGCATATGAGTTATAATAGTCGACCTTCACCTAATAAAATGTCATCATCGACTTCTGATTTGAAGGACGTAAAAAACTTCGGTGATTGACAAAGCGATTGGTCATTTTAAAGTGGATCGAAAAATACTGGAATGGGCTAGTGGTGGTGGAAAAGAAGACCTTTTCCTGGCTTAGATATTGACCTATGAACAGCAATGAGCATAATAGTACTGATGACAGCCAACAGATGCCTATCAGTATTGGATATATTTATACTAAATATTATACACTTCAAATGATTTATCTGCTAAATGAACTTAGTATAAAAATTTGTGATAGCTGAGTGAAGTCTTTTGGGTATTATGGACAAATCATCTGGCTGAACTATCATAGAATGGGTTCGATTCCCAATCGCGGCTGTATAGTCTCCTTTCGCAAGACATTGATCTTTCCTCTTAACCAGGAGACAATGACAATAAGCCTACCTGTAAGCATGCTAAGGTTTTCCTAAAGCCAAAGTAACCGGTTCGGCAGTTTTCCTGCATGTATTCATGTAAACGGTGCAAACAGTGTCAGGGGCACTGCCGGGGGAGTCTGGATGGTGAATAAAGCCGACTTGATTTTGCTACTGTTCAGAGGACAGAATAGCACATCGATTTTGTTTTTTGATGCAGTCGAATCAGCAAAATCACAAAAAAACCAAGTGACTCCTGAAATGTTTCACTCCATAACCGAGCGACTGATTGATTTTAATCACCTTGTATTTCAGAATATCTCTGTATACCTGCCACCGTTCCTTCCGATAAAGGTTCAATAGTAACGATCGTTTTCCTCATTGAAAGGTCGTCTGAACCATCCATCTTTACATCTTCTTGAAATGGCATAGAGAGAAAAAGCACTTACTACAAAAGTCATGAACTTCAGAACCATGGTCAGATGACGGGGGAGGGTTGGAAACTTCCTTTTAATACAAGCTCGATCTGTGGCCTCAAATGTTAGTAAGGTCACAAAATGGAAACCTTTCTCTTTTTTAATCCAACCAACCACTCCATTATCTGAATTATTCCACCCCCCCCCCCCCTTCACATAATCCTTAGGCCTGTATTCATCAGCTCAAGATTGCCAAATATCCCGCTATTTGAACTATCCCGATCGCAATTTATCCAGTTAATTTGCGTCCTCATCAGCCCGAAGATGCAATTAGCGGTATATTTGGTCGAGATAATCATCCCAAGATAACTTGGGCTAGTTTGCAAAATATCCCGCTATTATTTTGTCCGGTGCGTCTTCTCCAGCCCGAAGACTCGCACTATGCGCAAACGCTGCATGAGCAAAATATCTCGAGCTTTTTTCTCGAGCTCGACTTTCAAGTTTCGAGGTCAAGTCTCGAGCTGATGAAGAAGCGATTTGTAACTTCGGGATTATTTTCCAAATCAGAAATAGCGGGCTATTTGGCAATCTCGAGCTGATGAGGACAGACCTATTAAACGAGATGCCCGTGTCTTCGGTAATCGGGTGATATGTTACTAGGGATATTATACAGTGAACATAGCGCTATTGACATATCATTACGTCCAACATGCCCGCCGGTTAGAAGAGAGTAACAACCAAAAAATAAAGGATATAGGGTGACATGCAGATTCTCTTTCAATTAATGAGACTCAAGGTGGTGTCCGCTAGAGGGTTTTAAGATGTTGTGTCAAGACTTTTATTGATATGTTAGTCCGCTGAAATCCATCAATCCACCAAACGGGTGATGAATACGTGTACCAGAACAGGACAACCTCTTTAAATGGACCAGGATATGAATCTCAAACGTGCGATTACCTATAGCTGCTCTATTATAATACTATGATAAAAATAAAATCTTCACAGTTCTCAGTCAAAGAGAAAAGAGGAAGAAAAAAGAACTATGCACGAGATGGTGTGAATTCGAGAAGTAGGCCAGTGTTTTATCATGATGTTAATAATTTGAAGAAGCGAAACGTTAAGTAAAGAGGGTGAGAGAGAGAGAGAGAGAGATAGAAAATGAAGGTTAAACAATGAAAAAATATACAAAACTTCCTAACCTCAACTCTGGACTAAAACATTACATCTATAACCTAAAGCTAAAATGCAACAGCAAAGTTTGGAGCATTATTTTGTCTAAGCAACACGTTTTAAGAGCATTCGGAATACCTTATACATATTTTTTCAGAATGTTGAAGAAATCTCTTCTCAGTTGCAAAAGATTTGATTCCCTATTGCCGATCTTCTTCTAAAGTAACTTTTGTTTGTATCTCTTTTCGTTTCAGAACCAGCGGACATGACCTCAGATTAAGACCATGGAGCTTACAAACAACACCGCTCTCTACGATGAAACTGACGAAGTGAAATGGGCATTTCGTGCTATCCAGTGGAACTGGCAGACGATTATCCGAACAATCCTGGCCATCCTGGGAATACTCGGAAACACACTTGTTATTTTCGTGTACATGAACCGGAAGAGAATGAAAAGCTGTACCAATACCTTTATTGTGGGTCTAGCCGTTGCTGACCTCATCACGTCCTTTCATCAGTTCCCGAGACCGACGGAGATATCTGTGCCACCTGGATTTCTTGGTGAACTCTATTGTCGAACGTTCTTTGCCGGATCCAATATCACCATGTGGATATCAATCATAGCTTCTGTATTCACGCTCACCATGATTGCCTTTGAACGGTACGTGGCAGTCGTGTATGCGGTCAACTACCGGTCCATCTTTTCGAAGAAACGTCCTCGATACGTGCTCCTAAGTTGCTGGGTCGCTTCGATAACATTAAACACTCAAAGTTTCTACATCTGTTTTCTAGACAACGAAAAACACACCTGCTATGTGAAATACCCAAGTGTACATTTTCAGAGGTTTATTGGCGTGAGCTTCTTCCTGATCGAATATTTCCTGCCTATGGTGATTATGCTGTTCACGCAAACGCGCACGGTCATGACATTACGCGCGCAAGCTCGTGCGCTGTCGTCTAATCGGAAAGAAAGTAACGGTCCCGCGCTATCGCTGCTTCAAGCAAGGCGTCGCGTCATTGAGATGCTCTTCATGGTTGTTATCACTTTTATCATCTGCTGGACACCCGATCAAATCGCCTACTTCTGCTATCAGATGGGTATATTTGATGCTTCTTTCCTCTCAGGCTCTCTATACACTGGCTTTGTGGTGTTGGCCTTTGCGAATTGCTGTATGAATCCGTTCATCTACGCCTCAAGGAACGCGAACTTTAGACGCGCTTTACGCGAGTTGTTTTCAAAGGGAAAGAAGAACAAGATCCACAGTGTTAATACTATTGCAGGACAGGAGGAGACTATGGCTGATACCCTAGCTAAACAAGGAGATCAGATGGGATAAACAATTTCAAAGAACTACGGTGCCTGAATTCATACTGGATTCCATTATTTTGTATAAAAATCGTTAAAGTAGATTTTCATTGATTTAAAAAACTAACTTTAATTTCATTATTGCAAAGTTGAAACTTTGATTCTACAAGGTTATCAAAATTCAATGCTTGGAAACATTCGAAGTAATGATTATTATGAATTACAAAACGCTTAATTACAGCCCCGGCATAGCACCCGAAGAGCTCTCCGAACCGTGGCTGCTGAGATGTTTGAGATCACAGTATGGACATGATTTGCACAAGCAGACGATGTCCCATGACATCTCCCATATTTTCAGTGCATGTTTTTCGTCTTCTCTTGAGTTCTTTCTCTTTCTTCACTACCGTCAGGCTAAATGTATAATCTATTACCTCACTCTAAACCCCGCGCATGGTTTTATTTTGATGACAAATGCAGTGATACAAAAATAACGGAATCTGTCGCTTGTAAACAAAATAAGACGCCATTGTAGCTGCACACACCGCGCTATGTTAGGCGGTTCAAGAGGGAACAAATGCCGTCCTCAATATCATTCCGGGGGGTTTTCAATTTGAAAGTCTGGCTTCTTTGATTGTTAATTAATCCTTTTCCTGTGTATTTACAAGCAAAAGATTTTAGCTATCTGAACCGGGTCATATCCCCTTTTGAATGGTTGACATGACATTACATTTATATACACTAAACTCATTATAATTTGACAAATAATAGCTTCGCAATTATGTTCATTCGTTATGGGATGTTTTCTGCTTGGGCAGCATTGGTCCATATAGTGACGTCATTAAAACATCGTTGTTTTATCGGCGAATCTCTCGTATATCCCAGCTGCTATGGAGGTGGTTGTATTTGAATTTTTATAAATCACCCGATATGTAGTTAACCTCAAACTTGTAGGATGGCAATCTGTTAGCTTACCAGTTTCTAGTGATACATAAGTGACATATTTGTGATTTTTCTTTGAATTTCAACTTTAAAGATACCGAAAGGATTTCGTATTTGATGTGTGTGGTTTTAAGCATTGGACTCATGAACAATTTAAGATCAAGTTCAAGTTTTATTTTCCACATTCCATTCAAAACATACCATTAAATACCTAAATAATATGAACAGTAGCATATGTATATATTAAAAATACATTACAGTAGAATGCAAATGGGGAAGGGAACCGCATAGGCCATTGGCCTTTCGAGGCAGAACCCTTTCCCAATTTATATATTTCTTAGGCTAAGAAATAAATAATTGGACAATATGCACTAAAAGCACAGAATATAACTTAACAAACCAACAAAGTGAAATCAAACGGAAAATAAACGAACGCCCTAATTGCAACAAACATTACAAAAAGGAATAAGATGTTCAATAGTCATGACAGTAGGAGCTAATAATATATTTTCGATGTTTTCTTTTAAAAGATTTAAGTTCAACAGAAAGGTTATTTCAAAGCTTAGGCCCAGTGTTAATTACAGTGGTCCTTGAGATATTATAATAAGAAAAAGGAAATACAGTTTACTGGAATTTCTGGTTTGATATCTTTCGGTGTACTTGTTGGTTTTAAAATATTCATTTAATACTGTTCATTTAAATCAATATGCTTAAATTTATCAGACTACTATTCGGAATTAATGCACAAGGTATGAACATATTTTCAACAACGGTATTATATATTTATGTAAAGTATGTTTATGTATATTTTTTTTCTTATGATGAGGCTGTAACATGGCGGAAAGTGAAGAATTATATTCAGCCACGGAAAGTGACTATAGTTATGTGTTTATACGGATCATTGACACGTCCAGAATAAATAATACGAATAAAGCTGTCTGAGGTGTGACTGGATGGAGGAGTTTTGAAGTGATATCCAAAACCTTTTAAAAATGAAGACCAGAATCTCAAAATACCATAACCTCACGGATTACTATTTCATGTTAAAATGTTCTTTTGATTAATTTTTGTCTGCGACAAATTTGTTTTGCATTTTCTGTGCATATCACGGTCGTGAACATGGAACTTATATGTCAATTTTGAATATGCTACAGAAAAGAACAAAAACAACAACTTGTTTTAACTGATTATAATTGTTGTTTTTCAATATCTTGAAATGGTAAATTAAATCGTAATTTTGATGTATCCCTTTTCGTCCTTGATATTAGCTCATAGCATGCATACAGAAAATCGACGAAAGACGTGTTTTATACGGGCAAACATCATGAATCTCAGTCAACCCTATCTTATTCCACGCAATCGAAAGTAAAAAGACTGTTACTTTGAAGTGTTTGCGCATACAGATCTTTCAAGAAATATTAGGGATCACTTCCAATAGAGTAATAATAATAACAATCTGGACTTATATAGCGCTTAATATGAAATACCGTCTCTAAGCACTTTACAGATATAATATAATGTAAAGCGCATAAAGACATATTTTATACAATGCGCAATAGAAATGTAATTTATCATTATTATTATCATTACCATAACCCCGGTCATCAGATTTTTTCACACACAATGTGCACCATCTCCACTCCCTGGGGAGTATCCATACAACGTGGTCACCGTGAGGGCATACGGCAATTACTAATACAAATGCTTTCGTCATCCTACCAGGGCTATGTATTATAAAGCCTTTGTAAAAAGAAGTGATCCTAAGCATTGAGAGAGTGAATTTAGGTCAGGGTTATATTCATAACCGGTTAATGGTCATCTAGGATTAGAAATGCTTCAATGTAAAGGGCAAATCATGAGTCACAGAATAGGAGAAAGAGGCTTCAACAAAGGGAAATTGAAGCGGACAGAAGGAGATAGATAGAGAGAGAGAGAGAGAGAGAGAGAGAAAAAGAGAGAGAGAGAGAGAAAAATAATGAAAGAGGGAGAGAGAGGGAAATAATGAAAGAGGGAGAGAGAGAGAGAGAGAGAGAGAGAGCAAAACGCGAACAAAGTAGATAGTGAGAAACAGAGTAAAAGATGGAGAGATAAGTTGGTGGAGGCATGCAAACAGAGAGAGAGAGAGAGAGAAGCAGAATGAGAGAAACAAAGAGAGGGAAAGGGAGAGAGAAAGAGACAGAGCAACAGTACAGGCACAAAAAGAAGGTGGGTGTTTTGAGGAGGAGGAGGGATGAGACAAATCATGAGTAACAGAATAAGAGAAGGGGACTTCGACAAAGGACAACAAAATTGAAAAGGACAGCAGGAGATAGAGAGAGCACAAAGAGACAAAAGAAGAGAGTGAGAAACAGAGTAAAAGGAAGAGAGAAAAGTTAGTGGAGGAATGCAAACACAGAGAGAGAGAGAGAGAAAAAGAAAGAAGCAGAATGAGAGAGAGAGAGAGAGAGAGAAAGAAGCAGAATGAGAGAGAGAGAGAGAGAGAAAGAAGCAGAATGAGAGAGAGAGAGAGAGAGAGAAAGAAGCAGAATGAGAGAGAGAGAGAGAAAGAAGCAGAATGAGAGAGAGAGAAAGAAGCAGAATGAGAGAGAGAGAGAGAGAGAGAGAGAGAGAGAGAAGTAGAATGAGAAAAACAGAGGGAAAGAGACAGAGAAAGGCAGTGGGTGTTTGGAGGAGGAGAGAATGATGAGACAGGGAAATAAAGACACGGACAGGAGAATGTAGATAGAGAGTACGATTTTTTTTTAAAGGCTGAGAGTGAGTAGTAGGGGGACGGGGAAGGAGTCAACGGAAGAGATATGAAAGAGTGCATGTGAATTAAAAAGGAAAAGACAAAATGGCCATTTTTGAACGATCAGCTCAGGTGGATACAACAAATGGAAATTGCACTTAGGCAGAAAGCAGTCGAGACAAAAAAGATATCGCTTTCAATTCAGTCGACTGCCTTCTAGCCTACGCTACTGAATATCCTGCAGAAGTTTATGTCCAGGCTATTAAGTTTTCAATGCGTTCCTTTTTAGTTCGATTGTTTTTTTTTGTTCGGTTATTGAAATCTATCCTTAAGAGGTACAATGTCATCGTCATCACCACCATTACCATCATCATCATCATCATTATCATCAAAATCAAAAATTATCAGCACCATCGTCATTATCATCATCATCACTATCATCATTTAGATCTGGGCCCGCTTCTGTAGTTTATTGGTAGGTTATGTTTTGCCCGGCCGGAGAAGCAGGCCGACCTACGTTGTCTGCTCGTTAACTTTGAAAGCTGATAGATTTCACTGTATACCTGTCCACCCGATACGAGCTGCGACACTAAAGTCATTGACCAGTTTTGGAAAAATGATGCAATATGTATTGACCCGTTTTTGTATCACATCCAACATGTGTTTGATTTGCGTCCAGTAGTCATTAACGCTATTTTAATACCTACTTTTTGTGGTTAGAGTCATTAACCAGGCGACAGCGCCCAGCAACATTTTTTTCTACAAACGACTGTAGCGCCAGGTTACCCGGCTATACATCCAGGGGCAGATCAAAGACTTTACAGGGGAGGGGGGGGGGGGGGGGGAGGAAGCTTGAAATAAACGAAATTGCGAGAATGAAGCCTTCAACTGGATGCGGTCCCCGGATAATCTTAGCCTTTTGGCAGATTCTGAGGCCTATCCAAATGCTTAAACAGAATATTTATGCGAACACATTTTTTTCGGGAGAAAAAAAAAGGGGGGGGGGGTCGTGCGCCTCCCAGTACCAGGCATCCACTGGATCTGGGCAGCGTTTCATGAGACCGTCATAACTACAAGTTCACCGACATCCCATTGAAACGTGTGTTAAACTTAATACACACATTTCAATGGGATGTCGTTGGACTTGTACTTATGACGGTTTCATGAAACGCTGCCCAGATCCCCGACACCGAACACCTGGGGAGGTTTCACGAAACCGTCATTAACTCTTTGTTTGCTTTGTTCGCCGATTTGCACGGACGTAGGCGTGCCAACTTCGCATTTTTGCACAGATGTATACGAGTCAATTAGACATTCATAATACCGCTCGCAGTGTGTAGCCACGCGTTGCGTTTACTATTGTTTACATTGTATACATCGCACACTTTCCGGTAAACTGTTTTTCTTCATAGTGTTACATTCGAAATTACCGTGTATTTAGCGGTTTTCTTTGGATTT